ATCATCAGGAACATAGAAAATGAGAAAAGGAAAAGACGTCTGCCTAATGAAAATTCAAAATGCAAGCTGAGTGATTCTGCCATTGATCCAGCCTTGGATTTTAACAAACAAGGACAAAATGTGTCATTGTTCATCCTCAGGTTATTTAGACGGCTGTATTTTGCGTAGTTGCCGGTTCAGCCGACTCAGTTTGAGCGTCAACGTTAGGGATAGACGAGGCGGTTCCGGATAAGTCGGTGGAACGCGCTTTCGGATTCTTAGTATAATAGTTTGAAATAGCGGATTTAATTGCATCTTCAGCAAGCATGGAACAATGGACTGTATTGACAACAGGCGATTAATTAACCATACTCGGTTCAAATATGAAAAAAAAAAAAAAAAAAAAAAAAAAAAAAAAAAAAAAACCTTCCGTCACTTACGTTTCACGGGCGGCAAACACAGCTCCTTTGCAATCTCAGTGTTTCGGATCTTTCCAGCTTCCTCCAATGTCATTCCTCTGACCAACTCTGTCAGGTAGCTGGAGCTGGCGATGGCACTGCCGCATCCAAAAGTCTTAAATTTAACATCACTGATGGTATTGCTATCCTTGTCGACACGAATCTGCAATTTCATGACATCTCCACAGGCTGGCGCACCAACAAGCCCCGTACCGACATCCAAATCTCCCTTTGACATCGAGCCTACATTCCGGGGATTGCTATAATGATCTAGCAGTGCAGAGAACGATCAGCTAACCATGGAATTGGACTTGAGATATACAAGTGCCAACTATACAATATCAGGACCGAAATAAGACCAAACTTATCTTTTTCATGATAGCTCCGAACAGACGACACGACAATGGGGGCCAAATGATAACTACTTGAGCTCGAGATCGAAGGCCGGACGGTCAGGGGCATGAATGACAAGGGCGACGCCCGGGGGGCAAGGGTGAGCAATCGTCTGAACATCGTTGTTGAAATGTGAGGATATAAATTTCGACGGGTACGTGACCTCGATGTAGGAATGTGAAGGTAACAATCGATGATTGAATCCAATGTGGCGGGATGATGAAGATGGCTGATTGATAAGACAAGTGGCAGAGAATTTTAGCCACATATCACGTGGTTTAATGGGATGTTTCTTGGCGCCTGGACTTCCTATTGAGGACTAGCGCTCCGCATTGCATATGTGAGTTATGCCAAAAGGCCACAGAGATAATAAATAACCTGGATAATTACCAAAGGCTTCGCGTTGCAGCGTCATTAATCAGATTTATATTTCTAGTACGGACTAGTGCCTCATACACTGTACACACAAGTTCATAACCCCGATTAGCTAGCAACCAATACAACCACTCAGATGTCCAACACAAAATATTAATTCTATATCATCTACAAGTTAGTTTGAATTAAATTGAAGCTATAATTATTGAGATATTCAACTGTTTATAAGGGTAGATTTTGATGGTTTTAAGAGATGTCAAAATATATAATGTCAAGATAGGTCTCAGACGCAATCTAATTCTAAACCCAGTGGGCAAGCTACAAACACACGACGAATGGGCACTTCTACGTGTTCAAGAGGATTCCAATGTCAACCAGCTGGATAATCTCTCGCACGAGACACGGCCAAATAAAAATAAAAATAAAATAAAATAAAGACCGCTAGCAGCAGTGAGACATGAGTAGCAGAATATGCAGTATCTAAATTTAAACTTC